GGGAGAACTCAGGAGTGTGCAAGCCACCAATATTAGAGGACTAGGACCAGGTTGCATGCACCCCAACCCTCAGGCTCACTTTCCAGGGCACGATGTCATGACTACGCAGGCCCCCCGTGGCTGAGTAGAAACGGCCTCCCTTCGGGAGGTTCTACATCATGGATCCAATCAACCACAGACTAAAGAACAGCACAGAACACGTACAGATAGCCTTACCACGACTCCCTAAGGAGTAAAGGACAACAACTACCTCCGTGGCATTTACCTGTATTAGCAATTATAAGCCACCTGGAAACTAGGGTATCGAAAAAAACACGCACAGGCTGCACATAAACATGCCATTTTGCAAGGGACTTGAATGCAGGTAGATTTGCATGTCTCATGGTGGTCTTTCAACCACTTGCCAGTGGATACTGAAGGAAAACTGGACATTCTGTCACTATTCAATCTTTTATAAAACATTTGAGTGTAACACACACACACACACACACACACACACGCACACAGACGATGTTCTTAAAAGCACACTGTCAGAAATATTTAAAAATAAAGACATCCAGGGTTGAGGGCTTACTGGGGGAATGACTATGTGGACTATAAAAGAGATGAGTTTCTATAAAGCCACGATCTTCTTTGGCCAAGAAGGCACACACTCGTGTGCTCTTTACACAGAAAAAAACATGTGCTCAAGGAAGCTCAGGCGCCTCACCAACATGCTCAGTAACGCCTTTAGCGACTGTGCAGGCCTGCAGATCTAAGCCCAGGCAGGCCTGCCCTGATTCTTTCCTGGGGTTGTCATGTATTCAGCACAAGAGCCAGAGGGACCTGAAGGATATCAAATTACCCAGAGCCTGCTTCAAATCTGTCACAGAGACTAACCCAGCCTACAACGGCCCTCCTATCCGTCCCTCACTTAGATCAAGGCCACAGCTTCCCCTGAGAGCCTCAGGCCTCACCCTCCCACCCATCCAAGCTCCATCCATAATTAACAGCGACAACCAACTTTCTCTGGGTTCCAGTGGCCAAGAGGCAGCTGAGTGTCCACAACCTTCTCGCACTGTATCCTGCCTGCCCCCAGTTTACAGGGAATGGAGCAAGGCTTCATAAAAGAAAATAACAAAGCATGAACCCAGGTCCGTCTGATTCCAACCTCCGGATAAAGCATTCATATTATGTTATTTAAACCAAAGCTCCCCATCACTACAGCGGAGCACCCAATGGGCTCCTGTAGTCCCCTGCTCTCAGATTTCTGCCACTCCATCCTCAAGGCTCACTAGATACAGCCAGTACTCCTCGGGGGCCCTCCTCGAGCCCCGAAAACCAAGATTAAGTTTTCCATGAGTTACGGAGGCCTGAGTTCAAACACCACCTCAACCTAGGATAGGAACTGACACGGCCGGGCCATCTTTCTGTCATAGAGCTGCAGTCCTTCCAGCTTGCCCCTTAGTTTTGTCTTAGAGCAATTACCTCCTAACCCATAAACAAAAGAAGCTGGGGCTTGTGGAGCACAACTCAGCTGCAGTCCCAGCCCCAGCACAAATGCCATTCCCTATAGGAAGCCCCACACCCGTGCCTTCCCCACAGGAAGCCCCACACCCATGCCTTCCCCATAGGAAGCCCCATACCCATGCCTTTCCCATAGGAAGCACTTAGGAAATGTGGGTGGCTAATCTTGCCACTTCAACAGCTGTCTCATGGACTTGTCATATGGCTTCTCACGGGTATAGGAGATCTAGTGAGCATGCCAATAAATTAAGAGAGGCCAGCAGGTGGGCTGCATGGACCCTGGGTACCCATCATGCTACGTTTGTACTGTGGGAGCCAGCTTTAGAATCGACCACCCCAGGACCACCAGCCCGAAGTGCACTGAGAGACCAGACCTGGATTTTTGTTGTTTCTAGGCCTATGTTTTAGGAGAATGCTCATTAGATCTGGACCATCAGCCCCCTGAGGTATGGACTGCAGAACTCACAAAGACCACTATCAATCTGCCCTATGGAAAAGCTGACCCGAGGATCATTAGGTTTGCTAATGGCAGCTATCCAAGGCCGAAGCCAGACACTTGCCAGGAGTTGTCTGATATCCTTTCTGGTCGGTGTGTGGTCAGGATAAATGTCATGAATGTGTTATGCTCTCTTCACATCATGAAATCATTTACCCTAAAAGTTGAAACCTGCTCAAAGAACTCACGTACAGTGCTCCCAAGACATTGGCTGTCCCCATAAGAGAAATGGGGCACTTTGGCCTCTCCAAAAGGGCACAGGAGCAGATGTGGGGGGAGGTCTTCTCAAGAACAAAAGGTTTGCTGGAATCTGTTGTGGGAAGTCATTCTGCCAATAGCTTTGGGGGTACCTGCCTTAGGGCATGGCTTCTTGTCTGCTGATGCAATCTCTTAAAAGGAGAGGCAAGGGTTGCACACTTTCTGGGTTGTGAAGACCAAGTGAGGTGGCATGAAGCAGAGTGTGGCCTGTTCCAAGCCTCCCTCGATCCTCAACTCCGTGAGGCGGTTCTCCCCTGCACCCCTTAACATATATATATCTTTGTGGTTCTTGTTACAAGCAGAATCCAAGAGAGACAAAGGAGGTAGCAAGCCAAGGCTGGTACCCCAAAGCTATTGGCGGAATGAACCCCACAACAGGAACCAGCAAGACATGGCCCTGCCTGATTATCTGGAGAGTGGGAGCATCAGGGAACTGAAATTAAGCACTAGGGATGTCAGCACTCATCAGTTATTTGGCACCAACACTGGGTTTCATTGCTAAGACCTGAGTGGTGCGGGAGAATTGTCTGTAATCTGTCAATCATGTTTTAAATAAATGCTGGTTGGCCAGGCAGGAAGTATAGGCGGGAAAACCAGAGAGGAAGTAGAGGTGATGCAATGAGAACAAGAGAATTCTGGGAAGGAGGAAGCTGATTCCTCCCACTCCTGCCCAGACCACCGAAGCAGCAGGGTGTGATCTGGCCCACTGAAAAAGGTACTGAGCCACATGGCTAACACAGATCAGAATAATGGGTTAATATAAGCTACAAGAGCTAATAAGTAGCCTGACCTAATGGGCCTATCAGCTTTGTAACTTATGGAGTCCTCTATGTGATTTTCTTTGGGGCTTGCTGACTGTGGGGTACCGGGTGAGACAGAAACCCCAACAAGCAGTCCCCTTCCTGTTACACTTGAGACTGACTGTAGACCTGTATCCATGAGGAAGAAGAGTCATCAAGAATGCCTGGGGCACCCTGCAACCAGGGCCCACGATACCCCATCCACACCAATTACCCTACCCCCGGGGAAACTCTACCACCCCAAAACTCAACAGTGTGTCTTCTAAATAGAAAATGCTCACATAAGCCTTATGGAAAACCAGGGGAACATGAAAATGAGAATTGCCCAAGTAGGAA